TAGTAAGCTTGTGTATATAATTCAGTGTGGGGTTTTTGTTGTTGTTGTTGTTGTTGTTGTTTTTGCTTGTTGTTGTTTTTTAAAAGAATTATCTGTATTACTTTTTTAAAAAGTGACTGTGGCTGTTTATGTAAATGTTAACTGTTATCTGGCTGTTAATTTTCTTTTGAATGTTTCTACTTTAGGGCAGCACGGTGGCACGGTGGTTAGCACTGTTACCGCACAGCAAGAAGGTCCTGAGTTCAATTCCAACATCAGGCCGGGGTCTTTCTGTGTGGAGTTTGCATGTTCTCCCCGTGTTTGCGTGGGTTCTCTCCGGGTACTCCGGCTTCCTCCCACCGTCCAAAGACGTGCAGCTTGTGGGGATAGGTTAATTGGATAATCCAAATTGTCACTAGGTGTGAATGTGCGAGTGAATGTGAGTGTGAATGGTTGTCTGTCCCTGTGTGTTGGCCCTGCGACAGACTGGCGACCTGTCCAGGGTGTACCCCGCCTCTTGCCCTATGACAGCTGGGATAGGCTCCAGCGCCCCCCGCGACCCTGAAAAGGTTAAGCGGAAGCGAATGGATGGATGTTTCTACTTATGCTGTTTATATTTTGCAAGCCACTGTGTGATTCTGGATTGGATTTAGATCTGGACTTTGACTGGGACATTCTAACACATGGATATGTTTTGTGTGAAACCGTTCCATTGTTGCCCTGGCTTTATGTTTAGGGTCATTGTCCTGCTGGAAGGTGAACCTCCGCCCCAGTCTCAAGTCTTTTGCAGACTCCAAGAGGTTTTCTTCCAAGGTTGTATTTGGCTCCATCCATCTTCCCATCAACTCTGACCAGCTTCCCTGTCCCTGCTGAAGAAAAAGTGCCTTCCTCTCTCCTCTGCTTTCAGAATCAAGTTCAATTTTGCAAAGGACTGCACTGCTGTAGACAATGAACTTCTGAAAAGGTGCTCAGTTAAACTTTTGTAACTTTGTTTTGTTTGTTTGTTCTTTTTAAATTTGCAAAACAAGGCACTCCTTTAATTACATTCTTTTAGTCTTACTCAGGGTCACATGTGAAATTATGCAAGAGGAAAAATGTATATTTTAACTATACTCCATGTGCTACTGGAAGATCTTTGCTGTTATTTTGGGTGTGACTTGGATATCCACTTTAACCTCAGGAGTTTATATATACAGGGAAAATATAGACATACATTCATAGGAGATCTTTGTGAAACAACAACGTTCTTTTTGTCATACTGGTTTTGGTAAATACATTTCTAGTATTGACAAATGGGCATATTACAATGATGCAGTTTAACATAACAATTTACTAAATCCAAAACCACTTACAGTGTGTGAAAGAAGTTTCAAAAAGTTTCATATTTTTAGTGTTTTATACCGGTGAATGAGCTCAAACCAAAAGGATCCAGAATGATCAGGTGACTTGTTGGACCAGAAGATTGATCACAAAAAGCTTTACATGAGGACTTCCACTTTCCAGTAACTTCCAGTTAAACTTCCAGTTAATGTAGCTAAAAGAGAAACTCAACGAAGGGAAATGGATTGTATCTCATATCCACTGAGTTTACCTCAGAGGTCAGAGCGGGAACATCTGAATCTTTTCTATGCAAAAGTAGGACGGACCAAGCTTTACACATACCCAGCAGTTTGGACCAGCTTTGAGATTTCTTTTTTTTTCCACAAAACCCAAATGATATTCTCTAATGTGTGTTTGGAGGACTGTGATGCTAATGCGTCTGTCTTCAGTTGAGAACAAAGTGAAGAATTTTGACTTTGGCTCTTGTAATTTGATGCCTGAGACACAGGCCAAGTTACTCATCTTTGTACACGAACAATGATAGTTCTCACTGGAAAATATCAGACCTTTAAGGCAGATGAAAGGTAAAGTGACTAAAATGAACTCAGAACTGAAATTTGTATTTTTAAACCAGCAGTACAATAAGTCGGTACTAAAAATGAGCCATGTCACTGATGTGAAAAAGAAAAGGAAAATTAATCAGTGTGAAAGTTCAAAATCAATTTATTCCACTTTTTCTCACCAGCAGCACTTTATAAAGGGATGGAATTAATATTGAGCAGTATTAAGTTCAGGTTTAGAACTCCGAAAGAGTTTCTCATGTAGCCCCTTAGTAAAATTTGTTGCTCTGCTTTATATTATTTTTGCTTATGTGTGGTGTACAGTGGTGTATTATATTATTTTGGAGAAGCACTGGTTGTTCTGCTTCATTGCCATGTGATGGTATCATGACTGATTGTTACACCAAATCTGTCCATTCGTTGGAGTTTTAATGCACTGCTTTGTAAAAATGTATTGTTTATTTACAAAAACATCTTTTTGTTGCTGAATGTTGAGCTAGTAAAAATGAATAAGCTGTGATAGATAAGATGTGTCCTCAAAGTCATTAATGTTGGGAACTTTGGGCTAAAAACACTTAATATCCTGTTGTTCAAAATAACATGTATGAATATATCACCACCTGTGCTGAGACTGGATTGGTTTGAAAATAATGTAAAGGCAATATTTCCCTCTTTCTAATTCTAGGTTCAATTTTGGAAATTAGAGTTTTAAGTTGGAAAACACACTTTTGACCCAAAGACAAGTCAGAATGCAGTTAAAGCTTGCCAAGACTTTGTGTTAACATGATCTTGATCCTGATATTTATTTATTTATACACAAAGATTTAACTTTAACCTCCCAGGACCTCGGGTCCACATACTTGGACGTCACATTGTGGGTTGTGTAGACCAGGGGTCTGCAACCTTTAACACCCAAAGAGCCATTTGGAGCCGGTTCCCACGCAAAAGAAAACACTGGGAGCCGCAAATACTTTTTGACATCTAAAATGAAGATAACACTGTATATATTGTTTTTTACCTTTATGCTTTGTGTGGACAAGTAAGGTGTGTTGCTTATGAGATCCATGAAGTGCTACAGAGAAAATTACATTTTATTTATGTAATGAACACATTTTGAACTCCTAAAGAAATATAACAAAAGCAAAGACACCCAGCTGAACTAAAATGATCCATGTAGCAAACAAAACTGTTGTGAGCCGCCACCCTCATATCGCCTTTTGGCTTTTGGAGCCTTGACCTGACTTTTAAAAAATAATTGGAAATAAAGCACTATGCTGCTAAAAAAGGAAAAATAGATGTTTGCAAAATTCTGCCTAAATATTTTACCTGGTTAATGTGTGTGGCGGGGCGTGGTCTGCGAGAGTCCATGGATGGAAGTTTTGTCCCTACGATTCTCTCCACAGTCATTATGACCCTTTGCAGAGCCTTTCTCTCTGCCTGTGTGGTGTTCCCGTACCAGACAGTGATGCTTGTGGTGAGGATGCTCTCTATCAGTCCTCTGTGGGCCTGGGTGAGAGGGTGATGGTTCAGGCCAGCTTTCCTGAGCAGCCTAATGAAATAACTCCCTCCCTGGCATAGCTGGCCTGGCCTGGATGGTGATTTTTCGCTTTTATGGGCTGATGGTTTTTTTTTCTTTTTTTTTCCGTAACGGTATAAACACTGAAAGGTGGTGGATTGGCCAGATGAAGGGAGATGTGTAAAAATAACTCAGTTATTTGGTGGTGGCTATTGCAGAGCTTCCACAGATTCAGTAACATTAGCACGTGGTGGAGGCCAGCAGGTGCAACACGCTGACAGGTGGATGACGGAAAGGCAGGAGGAGCAGAGACCCGAGGCGGTGAACTGAACCTCGGGTAAGAAGTTATGACCTGCAGTCCATCTGGGTCAGATATAAACCAAGTTTAGGTGGAGTTTATTTTCGTTGTGCTGACTTTTTACAGTCATTTACATTTTCTAGATACTGCACCAGTACTGTGTGTAAAATGCCATCAAAAAGTCAATTAAGTTTTATTCTTTCTCACCTGTCTTTCTGTCTTCTTTCACTTTTTAAAGGTTGCCATGTTAGAAAAAATATTTTGCCCTGCCATGCTGTTTATTCATGTGGCAAATGAATGGTTTATGAAAATATATCTAAATCTGTCATCAGTAATCAGTAATGATCATGTCTCACCTCTCCTCTGTCTTAATTTCAGGTTTTCACCATGTGTTGTAGATAGTTTAGGAGGTTAACTCGACCAACAGTCTACTTTCGGGTACTGTTTAGAGCACCAGAACAGGGAGGATGGTGTAGGTTTACGTTTATTAGACTGATACATATATACCAACAAGACAGTGTACATCAGTGTGACAACAGCGTTTGTTTTCATTCAAAGGCTTTATGGTTTTTCCTATAATACCTGGTGGGCCGGTCTCTAGTCAAAATGTCCGGGCCGATTTTTTGTCCCAGTCCAGCCCTGGTTATTAGTGTGAGTAGGACGGAGCTCAAGAGCAGAATACGACACAAAAGGAAGGAAAGGTGGCAAAAGCAATGGGAGGAGGAGAGGAAAGGGCGATGGTTGTTCAACAACCAAAGGAAAATGGGGGAAATGAGAAGTACAGGACAAAACAGGAGAGAGGAGACGATTATCTCGACTGAGATTTGGACACACTGGCTTAAATAGCACATTATTTTTCATAGGTAAACACTGTACAGGGGAGTGTGACTGCAGTAGGGAACAGGAAACAATAGAACGTGTTTTATTGCATTGTCAGAAGTATGAAATGGAAAGGAGACAACTGATCAAAAAGCTGGACGATATGAAAGTGGAGTTGGACTTGTTTGATTTATTCCGCGTGAGCTCTATAAGTGAAAGTTATCAGGCTGTATCTTGGTTTTTAAGGCAGACCCATTTGAATATTTTATTTTATTTTTGTCATTTCGGTCCACACTCCACACCAGTTGGTGGCGGTAATGCACCATTTTGCTGTTTGCCAACCGCCAATAAACCTATACAGAAGAAGAAGAAGAAGAAGGAGGAGGAGGAGGAAAAGAAATACAATCGGAAATCGTAAACAAACACGAAGTTTTTGTTTTGGTGCCATTTACGCCCTACAGCTGTAGAAATTAGTTTAACTTGTAGTCCAACTTTTTCTATATTGGGATGGCTTATCGGGAGTTCCAAAATCATCCACAGTCACTTTGACTTATATTCAGCCTGATAGCTAAGGCGGAGGATAGCTTCTGTAGCCATAAGCGCTAACGTTAAGAGACCTGTCGGACAGTGAATCTTTTAAAGATGTTGTCAGCACCAGAGTGTTTGTGGTTGTGTCTCGCCGCTCTGATACTATCTGCATCAGCTGAAGGTGAACCAGGTAAGGATGCCAATGCTAATTTTTAGTTTACGGATATAAGTTCGTAGTCAGACCCAGCATTCATACTACTTAGCTAACTTATGCTAAGGTAGCTAAGTAGTATGAATGCTGGGTCTGACTACATGCTTTCATGTCTTACTGAACTACTTGTGCAAATATATTTGTATATATTTCAAAGACATGCAGCTTGTGGGGATAGGTTAATTGAATAATCCAAATTGTCACTAGGTGTGAGTGGTTGTCTGTCCCTGTGTGTCGGCCCTGCGACAGACTGGCGACCTGTCCAGGGTGCACCCCGCCTCTCGCCCTATGACAGCTGGGATTGGCTCCAGCGCCCCCCGCGACCCTGAAAAAGGATAAGCGGAAGAGGATGGATGGATATTTTAAACTTTACATTTTTATATAAGTGGCTTTCTTATACTTGTGTCACTAAAAACTCAACCTTAAAGGGCACATTTTGCTTAAAAAAGAGTTAAAGCCTCGCTAAACATCATCATCATCCAGTTTTAGTTAATTAGTAAAGTTAACTAAGATAAAAAGCCGCCTGCACTGTCAGATGCATTTGGAAGGTTGACCTAAAGTCTTTAAACTCTACTTTCACTACCTCTCCTCCTTGCACCTTCACTGTTCACACCTGTCTTCATCTCATTCAGGTGTATTCTGTGTGGTGTAGCTTCTAAACCGGCTAAGAAATGTTTTAAAGAGAGGAGTCCTTTCTAAGCCTCCTTACTTAGGTTATAACAACATAACGAATCACCTTCACACATGCAACAGGTTGCATTTACAGCTGAAAGCGACTTTGACTGTAGTGAGATCAGAAAAGAGAGAGTGATCCAAAACAGTAATACAGTCATATTACGGCATTTTTATACCTAAAAGTTCTGAAATCATCTTCACTGTAAAGTTCTTTTGAAACACTTTTCAGGAGTGCAACGGCAAGTCAGTAATTCTATTTTTATCTAAACCTGTAGAAAAGGACGGTGAAATGTTTCTGTAAATGGAATAAAAATTGAACAAATGTTAAACTACTCTGAAAGTAAGCTTGAAATAGATCTGGTCTCATTGTTGTCTTGTGGAGAACTTTCTTGGCTAACATTTGCTTAAATGTACTTTATTATAATTATTTTAAAAAATAATAGCCAGCAGCCAGGCTATTGTTTAACATACATGTAACCTGTTTTTACAGAGCAATGGAACCCCATTGCTCACTATCCCCATTTGGTCCCCATTGTGATTAAAAAATGTTTTGTCCTTCAGGTTCACAAATCAAAGTGGTTGTATTAGAAGGAAGTGACGCCGTCCTGCCTTGCTCACTCAGCACCAAGGAGAAGACTGAACTAAAGCTGTTTAACTGGAAGAAAGTTGATCCAAATGAACAGGAGGTGTTCAGGTATGATGGAGGCAATCATTACAATGACGGCCTTCCAGGTCAAGACAAGCACTTCAGAGGACGGGTGTCACATTTTCCACTAGAGCTGCAGTCTGGTAACGCCTCCATCATCATCAAAAACACTGTGGTGCCTGACAGTGGAAACTACACCTGTGATTTACCTCTGCAACAAAAACAAACATTCAGCATTGAACTTGTTGTTGGTGAGTATTTTAGTTTTAATGCATCTGGAAAAAAAAACCTTCTCTAAAAACTCATATTTCAATTTTTTTTAAATGTTGATGTTGTTTTGTCCACACTCAGTTGTACAGTATGTGGAAAAACAAAATACAATTCACTCCTTATACACTAACATTTGCTTAAATGTACTTTTATTAAACAGTGGGTGCAAACGCAGCAACAATTTCATTACGAATTCAAATTTGCATGCAGACTTAGATTACATGTGAATTGGAAATAAAGGCTAACAGTGCAAAAAGGGTCTCTGCTTTAGGATCATAAATTCAAGTCAATCAAACAGTCAATGATTAAGTTTGGATTAAGAATCTACTTTTAATCATGAGGCTCTTGACCTAAAAATCAGCCCCAGCGAGGGAGGTGAGAAGCTTGAATAAAGTGATATCGATTCATTAAATCCTGAATTGACTTTTGAATATAAATATATTTTGCCAGAAACGCCAGAATCTCAAGTTAAAGCTCACAAAAGTATTTCTAAAACCACCAAATAGCAAATGACAGCAGGTAAACGGATTCTGCACAAAGAAGTAAACGCAGAGCGGACCCGACGCATCAGAATCAGCTTTCTCACCCGACAGCACGGACACGCCGTCGGGGCTGAAAGCCGACAGCTCACTGATTCTGATGTGTCGGGTCCGCGCAGTGGTTACGTCTTTTTTTGTGCTCGATTCTGAGCTGCAGAGTTTGTCTCTCTCCAACCAGAATTCACTGAACCAGCAGCAAAAGAAGATCCAAACTACGATTCACATTTGATAAATGTCTTATTTTGCTGTTTTGTTTCCACCACAATAACATATATATCGGATGACGATATAAAAACATCTACCGTTTCATTTTACGCTATCGTTTGTTTCGTGGTGTCGCAAAATAAACTGTTTACCGCAATATTTTTTCATCGTTTTGATGGTCACTGTAGTGGCTATATTCATTTCTTAAAGTTTGCTTTGTATCTGTAACCAGACCTTAACAAAAAATGTGTAACTCGTGTAAATATTTTATTAAATTTATTTATTTATTAAATATCTTTTTTACTCACACACAAATTCTCATCTGTAGATGCACAAACATAAAATGTTCACATATTTTAGCTCACAAGGTTACAAAACTCAGTTCACAAATACACATTTGATTTACAAGTACAAGATATTTATGACCACAATTTGAGCCCATAGTCATGTGCCTATTATTTGTCTTGATGATGCTGTTGTCTACATCTGTAACTTGTGTAGCTACACATCTGTTAGCCTCAGCACCTGTCAAACATGTTTAAACTTGCCATAAACAATTTTAAAGATATCACTGAAATCTGTGGTCCTGTCAGTAATGACAGATAAGGAGAAATCTGTCCTGAACCTGACTTCAGTATCACTGTTTATTGTTGTCGCCTTGAAGACTGACACAGCACCCGACCTTTTTTAAAAATGTGAATAGGCTGTTGCTGAAAGTGTTGTGGCGTACAAACATGGTATATCATCATTCTATTGCTGCATTTGCACGTCATGTTTAAGCTGACGCACGTATGACTCTCCTGCACTGTAAACACCTGAGAGCAGCAAATATATTATAAACCTGAGAATTAGTATAACTGTGATGTGGATTTGAAGATGGCAGTGCAGGTCCTGGTGTCAGGCACATGCTGTGTAGCTAAGTTATGCTGGTTATGCTCGACGTGTCCGTTGTGTTGTGCATTGATTTTCACATCACATCATGTGTCACACAACACAATCTTTGTGGTGCGTCCGCTGGTCTCATGATTTTGCAACTTAATAAGTTGTTGCCACGGCCGCTGCAGTGAACCATCACACGAGTGTAGGATTTTGTTTTTCCTGCCATTTTAATGATGTTCCAGCTAGGGCTGCCACGATTAGTCACGATTACGTCAACTATTAAAATCATCGACGACTGATTTAATGTGAACCCACATCAGTGTTAGTTTTTCTTTTTATAAGGACTTAGTGAGGTGCTGGGATCGATTTGTTTCCTAACATATGTTTGATGAATCAGTCAGTTTAAAGACCAATTACTATAATTGTAGTTTTTCTTCAGAAGAGATCACACACTTTTTTTATATTCAAAGTAATTGAGAGCAGTGACACATTAATTTGTTATTCACATTTTAAGTTGGCTTAACAAATACAAACATTTCTTTGCAGTATTCAGTGTTGTAGTGCTGTGGGTTAAGCAGGTGCTGATTCTTTATTCTTTCTGAGACAGTAAAGGAGGTGATAAAGACTGATCAAGTGATTAACACAGCCTTACTGTGTTCACAGGTGCAGCTCCGAAGCCACTCATTCATGTCCTGAACATCACAGAGGACGAGGCGCGGCTGAAGTGTGAGGTCAGAGGTGCTTCTCCAAAGCCTAAAGTAGAGTGGAGGGACAGCGATGGGAACATCCTTCCTGCTGAGGAGCCACAGGTGTCACGCACAGGAGAGCGCTATAACATCACCCTCCTCACCACGGTGACCAGGACAAACATCAGCCCCATCCACTGTGTAGCCACGCAGGAGGAGCTCAGCCATGAGACTAAGCATGAGCTCTGCGTCGCTTTCTCTGGTAAGATTTGTTTTTTGGCATTTTGTAGAACAAATAACTGCAATTGTTGTTTCTGACAGAACGCTTGGAAGAACCTACTTTCTAAGTAACTTGTAGGTTTGTCTACGTGGGAGAACTTTTACTGAACCACAGCAAATATTTATTTGATGTTCCTTTTTTAACATCAGTGTTGATAAGGGCTTTGTTTTGACCCTTTTGGAATTTTAAATATTGTGTAACTCTGTTAAATTAAAACCTTAATGTGCTTATTCCTCAAATATTGAATTATTCGCTGTGTGGGATTAAAAAGGAAAAACACACACATGACTGCATTTACGTAGAACTGCCGAGGACGCCATTGTTACCCCGAAGAAATTAATGCTTGGTTGCCTAGCAACATTATTGTTTATAGACATTGAAGGCTTCTATAATGTGAGCCAGAGCTCTCTATATGAGATTGATAAATGAACACATATGGGACTGTAGTTAAATAAAAGATGAATAATTACTGTCAAGCTGAGGATGAGATTTGAGCAGAGCCAGAGCAGGAAGGGTGGGACTGAATGTGCGAAGAGCGGGTGGCTTGGTGGCTTTGCAGAACATGCAGCTGAACTGAACAGAGTCCAGATTGTGGAGAACTAATCTGAGCTAATAAAGAGTGAAATCAAGAGCAGAAAACAGATTTTCAGGCCTGAGCTGAGGAGGTGAAGCTGAAGACTTAGACTTGTTTGTCAAACCTTAACCAGTGCAGGGGTCTCCCTACACCCTGGACTGCATTGTGTGATCTTGTGATTGATTGGGGTGCACTGTAGAGAGACCAGTCAGACACAGGCATTCAATTTGTGGCTCGGACCGCCGCACCATTTATTTAGACACTGGGGCATAAACCACTCCAACTCTGCTACTGCTGGCCCCTGCAAAGTAATCACAGTAAACACTGTGCCAAGATGGCGGCCACACGAACAAGAAACTTACAACTGCGATGTCGTAGTTGTAAGTGAATTATTAAAAACTAATTCAACTAAAACTTCAAGCTAATTTTAAAGCTGTGCTTTTCCTCCATATTTGCTACGACATTCAGTGGAATCTATGTGAATTTTATTTTTGGTTCGTACATCATTACATGAAATTCATGAATTGATTTTGAATGTCATTGGAATGCCAACCAGAATTCTTGTTCCTCCAGACCAGCTCTATGGCAGTTTGAGACACAGATTACATCAGTAATTTACAACTCCACAACTTTTTTTAGTGCAAAAAATACCCCATCAATTAAACAAGCAGCTGTTTTTTATTTTATATGCATTAAAGTTATATAAACATTTAACAGTGCAAATGCAAATTCCTTGCTGACAGTTTAACCAAAAGGCATTTCCAGTGGAAACTCAGCATAACCATGCATAATATCCACAAAACTTAAAAAGAGGTTATACACACACAATACGGTAATATTATGTTGAAGCACAGTATGTATCACTCCGCGAGGCTCCACCTACGATAGCTGTAATACTCCGACAATCCATCAAGCGGTGCGGCTTCGTAGCTCAGCAAAATCGTACTAAAAAATTTTTTGACAAATTTTTGAGCGCCGTGTACCACATAAAATCGTTTCGGTAATATCGGTAATAACGACGGCCCGCTAGCATGCTCTACCAAAAATAGTGTTTTGTTGTGTATCTGACGGACGAAAGCTAAACCAGTTCCACACCAGTGAAGCTGCAGCATTTTTACAAACCAATTCTGGTTTATCCGTTTCATTCAACGATCCGCTAAACCAACTAAACAGGAGGAGCTTGTTAATGATCTGTAGGTAGCTGGAGCCACAGTCACCAACAACACCACTGGTAACACACTAGACTGCAATGGACTGAAATCTTGCAACTACAGGACTGTCTTAAGTTTGCCACTGAAAATATAAGTGAGTCAGAGAAGGCATGGGCCAAAGCTTTTCTGCCGTGTTTGGAGGAAGAGAAATGCTGAGAATGGCCGAAAGAACACCATCCCCACAGTCAAACACAGAGGTGAAAACATTCATCTTTGGGGCGTTTTTTTTGTTTGTTTTTTTGTTTTGTTTTTTGCGAAGGGTACAGGATGACTTCACCAAGGGGCCAGTAGAGGGGACCAGGCACCCCAAACCTCTCTTCTTCAGCAAGAACATCGAAGATGAGTAGTAGATGGATGACAATGTCCCAAAACGTATCACCAAGACAACAAAAGAGTAGCTAAAGAAAAGGAAAATTAAGATTGTGGAGTGACCTGGCCAGTCTTCAGACATCAATTCTTTAGATAATCTGAGGAGGGAGCTCAAGCATGGAGATGCTACGTGAGAGTGAAGAAACCTGAAGGATTTAGAGTTTTTGTAAAAAGCAGCGGGCCAAAATACCTCCTGAGATGTGTGCAAACGTGACGACAAACTATGAGAAATGTCTTATTATTGTGCTTACTAGCAAAGGTTTCTCCACCATCTAGTAAGTCATGTGTTGCAGGGGGTCAATAAAATGAAACAACCAAAAAGGTTAGACACTGTTTATTTCTGAGCAAACTTACAAGCTCAACAGGGGATTTACCTCACATGCTGTACATGCTGTGACATTGCATAAGCTCATATGCTGTGTTTCAGTGCTAAGTCAAAGCTAAAGGCAGGTTCACAAAATATTAGTGTGTATGAGACAGATTGATCAAAAGATCAATTTGTCAGATGAGAATCTTCACAGTGTTTGGTTGTGTTCATTGGATTTAAAGTTTCAAAGCTTTTAGGAGCGTTTCTTTTGAGGTTTATTCAATTAATTATATGATTTAAATACATTCTCTGCATCACACAAGGTTTTTGTGATGTCTTTCAGGCACATGTGGAAAAGTTATCACTGGATGGCTGGGTGGATGGTTCATTGGAATGCTAAGTTTTCCTTTAGTTATCACTGGATGGCTGGGTGGATGGTTCATTGGAATGCTAGGTTTTGCTTTAGTTCTGCCTGTGCTTGTGGCTACAAAGACTATCTCAATACACTTTAACAGAGGTAAGTTGAAGTAATTATTTAATAATATGCTGTGTAAAGCGACCAATATGTTAAATATATTAATGAATTGTAACATTAATATTGTATTATTAATTGTATTATTACGAGGGCAATCCCAAAAGTAAGGTCTCCTATTGTTTTAGAAATACAAACAACCATTTATTTTCCATAATATTTACATAATTTGAAGGGTTGAATAATTATTTATTTTTCTACATAATCGCCATTTCAGTCAATGCATTTTTGTAGATGCTGTGGCAGTTTTAGAATGCCCATGTCATACCAGCTCGCTGTCATGTCCTTCATGAAGCTTTGAACCTAACGTTTCACCTCTTTGTCAGAGCAGAATCGCCTTCCGGGCAAATGTTCTTGGGGAATTTGGGGAGCAGGTGGTAGTCACTGGGTGCCAAGTCCGGGCTATAGGGTGGGTGATAAGGTTCCAACCAAAGTTTTGCAGGACAGCGACGGTTTGATGGGCAACTTGTGGACAAGCGTTGTCGTGGAAAATGCTTACGCCCTTGCTTAACATTCCTCTTCTCCGGTTCTGTATTGCCCTTCTGAGTTTTTTTCAGTATTTCACAGTACCTGTCAGCAGTTATTCTGGTCCCAGCAGGCAGAAAGTCGACCAACAATACCCCCTTTCGGTCCCAAAACACAGTTGCCATGACTTTATCAGCAGACTGTGTTTGTTCGAATTTTCACAGCTTGGGCGAAGAGGTATGCCGCCACTTGCATGATTGTTGTATGGTCTCAGGTGCAAAGTGGAACCCCTTGGTTTAGTCACCAATGACAATCGAGTCCAAGAAGATGTCCTTTTCATTTGCATAGCGGCGAAGAAATTCACGGGAAGAATCAACTCATTGCCATGGTCTTCTGTCAGTCTTCGTGGTACCCGTGTTGCACACACCTTCCGATATTGCAACTTGTCTATTAAAATCCTGTGGATGGTGCTTTGGGAAACCTCAAGAACTAAAATGCAGTGAGCATCCAGAGTAATCCGCCGATCTTTTCCTCAACCTTCATGACTCTTGGGGAATTGATGGTCTCCCGCTCCTTTGTACTGAAATTCATGCCAAACAACCGGCTGTAAGCTCTCCACACCACCACAGCAAACTGGAAGCTGGTTCCACAGAAGAGGGGCCTGAAAACTGAAGGCTCTGCCTCCCATTCTACTTTTAAATACTCTAGGAACAACAAGTAGGCCTGCAGTGCGAGAGCGAAGTGCTCTAATAGGGTGATATGGTACTACAAGGTCATTAAGATAAGATGGGGCCTGATTATTTAAGACCTTGTATGTGAGGAGCAGGATTTTGAATTCAATTCTGGATTTAACAGGAAGTCAAAACAGGAGAAATCTGCTCTCTCTTTCTAGTCCCTGTCAGGACTCTTGCTGCAGCATTTTGGATTAACTGAAGACTTTTCAGTGAGTTTTTAGGACTTCCTGATAATAATGAATTACAGTCGTCCAGCCTGGAAGTAATAAATGCATGAACTAGTTTTTCAGCGTCACTCTGAGACAGGATATTTCTAATTTTAGAGATGTTGCACAAATGGAAGAAAGCAGTCTTACATATTTGTTTAATATGTGCATTGAAGGACATGTCCTGGTCAAAAATGACTCCAAGGTTCCTCACAGCGTTACTGGAGGCCAAGGTAATGCCATCCAGAGGAAGAATCTGATTAGATACCATATTTCTAAGCTTTTCAGGGCCGAGTACAATAACCTCAGTTTGATCTGAACTAAGAAGCAGAAAGTTAGCGGCCATCCAGGTCTTTATGTCTTTAAGACATTCCTGCAGTTTAACTAATTGGTGTGTGTTATCTGGCTTCATGGACAGATAGAGCTGGGTGTCATCTGCATAACAGTGTAAATGTATGCTATGTCTTCTAATGATGCTGCCTAAGGGAAGCATGTATAATGTAAACAGAATTGGTCCTAGCACTGAACCCTGTGGAACTCCATAATTAACCTCAGTGTGTGAAGAGGACTCTCCATTTACATGAACAAACTGGAGTCTATTAGATAGATATGATACAAACCACTGCAGTGCAGTACCTGTAATACCTACTGCATGTTCTAATCGCTCTAATAGGATATTATGGTCGACAGTATCGAACGCTGCACTGAGGTCTAGCAGGACAAGCACAGAGATGAGTCCACTGTCAGAGGCCATAAGAAGATCATTTGTAACCTTCACTAAAGCTGTTTCTGTGCTGAGCTGAGCTCTGAAACCTGACTGAAACTCTACAAATAAGCCATTCCTCTGCAGATGATCTGTTAGCTGTTTGACAACTACTCTTTCAAGGATGTTTGATATAAAGGAAGGTTGGAGATTGGCCTATAATTAGCTAAGACTGCTGGGTCTAGAGATGGCTTTTTGAGTAAAGGTTTAACTACAGCCAGCTTGAAGGCCTGTGGTACATAGCCGATTATTAGAGATAGGTTGATCATATTTAAGATCGAAGCATTAATTAATGGCAGGACTTCTTTGAGCAGTTTTGTAGGAATGGGGTCTAAAAGACACGTTGAAGGTTTGGAGGAAGTAATTATTGAAGTTAACTCAGAAAGATCAATTGGAGAAAAAGAGTCTAACTTAACATGAATGGTACTAAGAGTAGCTGTAGATAATATTACATCTGTGGGATGATTACTGGTAATTTTTTCTCTAATGATAAAAATTTTATTTGTGAAGAAGTTCATGAAGTCATTACTAGTTAACGTTAAAGGGATGGTTGGCTCAAAAGAGCTCTGACTTTTTGTCAGCCTGGCTACAGTGCTGAAGAGAAACCTGGGGTTGTTCTTATTTTCTTCAATCAGTGATGAATAGTAAGATGTTCTGGCTTTGCGGAGGGCTTTCTTATAAAGCAGCAAACTATTTTTATATGAAAACTATTCTTAAACTTAGTTACAGTGCTTTCAGAAAGACATCTACTTTGATAAAGTCTACTCTCCACCGCTGTGTAATCAATTATTGTAAATGTAAATGTTATCAGGAAATGATCAGACAGGAGAGGGTTTTCAGGAAACACTGTTAAATGTTCAGTTTCTATGCCATATGTTAAAACAAGATCTAGAGTGTGATTAAAGTGGTGGGTGGGTTCTTTTACATTTTGAGAGAAGCCAATTGAGTCTAATAACAGACTAAATGCCATGTTGAGGCTGTCATTTTTAGCATCTACATGGATGTTAAAATCACCCACAATAATTATTTTATCTGAGCTGAGAACTAAATCAGATAAAAAGTCTGAGAAATCAGACAGAAACTCTGTGTAAGGCCCAGGTGGACGATAGATGATAACAAGTAAGACTGGTTTCTGAGTTTTACAGCTGGGGTGGACGAGGCTAAGCATCAGGCTTTCAAAGGAATTAAAAGTCTGTCTTGGTCTTTACTTGATTAATAGGCTGGTGTGAAAAATTGCTGCCACACAGCAACCTCTGGATAGTCATATTTTGGGGGGTTTAATAAATTTGTCCATATTTCTAGAAATGAGAGCTGCTCCATCCAAAGTAGGATGGATGCCGTCTCTCCTAACAAGACCAGGTTTCCTCCAGAAGGTTTGCCAATTATCTATGAAGCCCACATCGTTTCTGGGACACCACTCAGACAGCCAGCAATTTAAGGAGAACATGCGGCTAAACATGTCACTCCTGGTCTGCTTCCCAGCAAAGCTGCGCATGCTTATTTGGGAGTGGAGGAAGCACCAACTACAACAATGTGGCCAACAGCTGTACAGTTTCTCTATGTCACCACTGTTTTCGAGATCTTACTTTTGGGATTGCCCTCGTATGTGGTTTTTAAAGTATTCTAATCTGATTTTAGAGTGATGCTTTCTGCTCATTTTGCATTTATTCTGCTTCAATAACTTTTTAATTTTATAGGTTTATGGTAAATGGTAAATGGACTGGTTCTTATATAGCGCTTTTCTACTCATCTGAGCACTCAAAGCGCTTTACACAACTTGTGCATTCACCCATTCACACCCATTCGCACAAGCACAGTTTTCTAAGTGCTTTGTAGCTAACATTCACACACATTCATACAGAGCAATTTGGGGTTAGTATCTTGCCCAAGGATATTTGGCACGTAGACTAGGGGAAGCCAGGAATCGAACCACCAACCTTCCGACCAGTGGATGACCTGCTCTACCACCTG